CGCGAAAAAGTTTTGCCGTCAGTAAAGCTTGGAGAGTTTTGTTATCAGTAACACATGGAGAATTTTACCGTCAGTACCACGGGGTAGTTTTGCCACCGGTACCAATGGGAGAGTTTCACCCGTCAGTACCAGAGGGGGAGTACTACCCCTCAGTATCACGGGGGGAGTTTTACCCTTCAGTACCATGGGGGGGGGGGTGTTTTGCCGCAATAAAGTGGGAGTGTCACGGAAAACAGTAGGGAATAATTGCCGCAATGCCGAGGGAGCGTTTGCCGTCATACCGCGCGAGTGTTTTTTCCCAAAATACCGTGGCGAGTATTTTTTTTTTCAGTTATACCATAAAGAATATTTTGCTGCGAGTCATGCGAGTTTTTCATTTTTACATCGTATCTATGTGCGTTTCGTGGCACGTGTATATCTAAGTAATTGTTCAGGGACTAGCACTTCGTTTGTCACCCGGTTAGTTCACACTTCCACTGTTCTTATGTTAATTTCTTTATCATCCACCACCCCTTTGTTTTGCTCAGTCCCCAAACCAAAAACAATTCCCAACACGCAGAATGTTATTACATTTCTAAAACTCGTTATTAACGTTGGATTTACGTTTTAACAGTTGGTTTACCACCACCGTAACGGTTCTATAAACCCAATGTGTTTTCATTTTCACATCAAGATATATGATAGGTTCACGTGTACAGCGCCACCGACGTTTACAATCGGCGCGCCCTGTTCCTTTCATCTGTGTTCGCTGAATCATCGCTGACTTAGTGAACACATTGCACGTGATTTGAAAAAAAAATGAGTGAATAGCTTGGAAATCCATGGATGTTTGACAATGATATGCATTTCACTTTTGGTGTATATTTTCACAGGTGTTGGGAAAGACGGTCCGTAGTGTGACTTGTAAACAATGGAATGTACAGAGGTGGAAAACGGGAAGCCTCGCGATGGTGTTATGTGTAATTTGACGATGCGTGAATTCCACCTAGTCAGTTGATATTTAAAAAAAATAATACTAGTAGTTTAATTATTCCTTGGTTGTGTTTAACCTGATTCGGTTAGCTCTGTTTCCACCGTCGTCTTGCACCGAGTTGCCACGCCTGTGCGACCAGGATTCTCCATCATCATACCACGTACCTTCAGACGATCGAGACAGACAGATTTGGAGCGTGGCAGTATTGTACGCTGCATGTCTCAATATTGTTTTCAATGTGTCAGTTTAGCCAATCCGCCTACACGCAGAAATGAGTTACGACAACCAGAAAAATTTCATTTTGATTCAAGTTTATTAAAAGATTGATATTAACGACCAATGCGTAACGCGATCTGTCAATGTGATAGATGTAAGGGCAATTGTGCTAAAATGAATTAACGCCGATCTTATAACAGTTCAAAGCAGGATTGGTGGTTACATACTCACAAAACAATAACAAAAACCTTTCTTCTTTACACTGTCTCCGGTATTCTTCAAGAGAATGTCTTGAGAAAAGGTCGATACTAAACAGATATTTACATTGAACACAACATAGACTATGAACATAAGTGGACCTTTTAAATAACGTGAAGAGTAAATTCGAAATATCTTCGGCATATTTCCAAGATCGTCTCACATTTGCGTGTATAATTAATTCCATTATGCGGGGATAATCATCGAACAGCGGGGGTACATGTCGCGTAGTTGGTGCTCTCAGTAGTTACAGTGAGCCAAATGAACCAAGGTATGCCCCGCCGCCTGCAATCACAGTGACATCGTTTCGCGTTAGTTAGCGAGAAGCGGCAGATATATTCCTTCATAGATTTCGGCAGATTTCGTATTGCTATAAATTACATACCAGATCTTTGAGTAAATATCATCTGAATAATATATATTTTTTAATTGTAGAAACCATTTACGCTGTCTGGTAGATATTCTTCAATAGACAAGTTTGTAATTTAAAAATGGATCTAATGTGTCTACCGCCTCTATTGGCTCATTTCGACGCGCGACGCTCGGTTATGACGTGGATCGGCCTACATAAGTCTACATCCATACGAATTCTGCTTACTACTTCTCTGCGATGAAGTGGTCGCTATGATTCCCACGGTGTCACGGAACATATTACCCAATCTATCGGTTCAAATAAATATTACTGTTTTTTTTCCTCTCTCGGAGGATATGTGTGTCGCGGTCTGCCAGTAAATGTGCGGTTGGATCCATATTCCACTCAGTAAATTCAACTGTTTTGCGAGATTATTTGACTTTACTGCAATTGATCGTATTATATAAATGGTCAGATGGTTTCATAGTTCGGAGTATGCAATAATCTGAAATATTTTTGTCCTGGTCCCATATTGACCCGAAGTTGAACACTTCGGCAACAAACACATACTACATATATTCAAAGGACAATATGCTTTCCGGTAATTTACAGAATATTTCAGTAACAACTTTACCTGGATGGTATGCCACGGTATTCCGGAAATGTATCCAGTTGGAAAAAAAAGAGCCACGAACTCGGTAGACCCCGACGACACACCGTCCGCCGCGAATCCGTGCTGACTAGTGTCTCTCCTCTACAATGAAATCAAGCGAGCCTAGTTGGCAGATAAATCGCTAAATTACGACTAGTTACTTTTATTAGGGTTCTAATTTGATAAACGAGTCTGCGAAAGTGTTTATTTAACTGCCAAAATTGTTTAATATGTCTTTACAAATATAAATCATAGAATTGAACCAAATTAGATAAGCAGGCCTCGATAATGTGATAATTATTGAGTAATTTAACGAATTGCTGTGTAATATGAACTAACAAGCTCACAAAGTAGAATTGGCTAGTCACACAGCTCATTTTGAATCGAATTGTTCTCCGCTTAGTTTCTCAGTGACGAACGGTTTGAATGTCCGTCGACCACCAGCGCACTGCAAGATCAATTTCGATTTAACATGTGGTTTGCCGATTGGACCTCCCAACGGTACCGGCCAATTCTGCGACGAATTCGTTTTTTTTTAATGCCGTTGCTATAGGTCGAGTAATCACAAGCATGACATCAAATTGGCGTAATTTATGCTTGTTATGCGGTATTACTGTGACAGAAGCAGGCAATAGTGCCACCATCCGGGAGTTTTATTTACAGAGTGAAATCGAACAATAACAGATGAGGAGATTATGGCTGACCTATTTGCACTGTTATACACTGCTAAATAAATCGCAGTGCGTAACAAGTTTGTTTATTACAGTTATCCAACTTTATTAACATTTCTTAGCCGTCCGTACACGGTGAATCATCCGCCCCGAATCAACATGCGCATGTATATTAGAAGCCGGCGCCACTTGTCCGCCTGTTACTACTCTTCCATACGGCTCTGTCGCTGGCTTTTATACAGCCGCAAACATACAAACTTTTGTACTGTCTTTCTTTCACTATAACTTTGATTGTTGTTGTAAAAGGCTTGTTGTGTTTGGTGGTCGGATACATTCAAAGAAAGTACTACTTAGCCTCAATTAAGCTTGGCTATAATGATGTAGAAATAATAGGTCCTGTCTGTGGCCCACGACACCGCGCAACTTCAACCAGTGGTGTTGTTATTATGAACCAGGCGGGGGCCATTTACCTCCTCGGCCGTGCAAGCCATGGCTAAGCCAATTTCTATGTCAACGTTAACTTTTAGTACGACATCGCTGACTTTACCATCCGTAGTTACGACAAAGAGCGCGCTGTGTATAAAGTGGTGGTCATTGATGTTTGCTATGAATGACAGCAACTACAGCGTTACTGATTTGCTGATCGGGCTGGTGCCTGTGGACTAGACTTTATTACAATACAGGACAATAGGTTTTGGTAGACGTTAGCAGCCTAGCCTTCTATATACTCGTCCGTCCATCCGTCCGACTCCGTCTCCTGCTAATTAAGTATTCACTGCTCTCTAATTAGACGCCATTATCCACTGGGCCAATCATAGGAGGGTTTTGGTCGGGGGCGTGTTTAAGCGCCATACATATTAATTTGCCGCGTGGGGCATTACTTGTTGACTTAAGGCAGAGACACTTCAGTAGCACCGTAGCATAAATCGACTGTTCACACTACAGAATAGTGGTAATAGACACTCAGTCGTTACGGAAAGAAAAAAATACTTCATAATTGTCCGCTGATGTCGTTAATGACAAGCCTTGGCGAGGGACTGGACATCGAAGCCTCGAAATCAGCGTTCATGGAGATCCAGCAGATGCAACAAGCTACCGGGCCCATGGGTTACGGCGCACCAGCCCACCACCACTACCCAGGACCGGTGAGATGCGCACCAACAGGACCACCACAACACGACACACCATTCAGTACATCGGCGCAGCATACGAGATCGTTAGGCTATCCATTCCACATGAATCCAATGGCAAATCATCACAGTCACCATTATCTTAACCCTTACCAGACAGCTACAACATGTACGAGTCCAACAATGGGACGAGACGGTAAGCAAAAAAATTACGATCGTCAATTATATATTTAGACCATATCCCGTTCCACAGATAAATCGTAGCTGTGAATCACAGCCGCTGTACTGGTATTATGGCGTTGCACGCTCCGTTGCATGAAAACAACACTATACCTGTTGCTCAGTTAGAACTTATTCCCCAATTTTTCCAACAGAAAAATCGGCATCAGAAAACGAATTACGAGTGAACGGGAAAGGCAAAAAGATGAGGAAACCACGTACAATATATAGTAGTTTGCAGCTTCAGCAGTTAAATCGAAGATTTCAACGCACGCAGTACTTGGCACTACCAGAACGTGCGGAGCTAGCCGCCTCGTTAGGACTTACACAAACTCAGGTAAGCACAATGTTTATTTAAAAAAATGGATAATAAAGCGCGGCCATAATTTGACGTTGTTTATGAGCGATCACTTGTTGATGACTATAATACGGCATTTTACTTTTGATTCAATTTTGAAAATTACATTCAATTATTTTTCAAATAGGTTCCTCGTTGTTCAGTACATTACTACATTCGTGCTAGGTTCCTTGGACCGGTACATTACTTTACATTACGATAGGCAAAATACGTAAACACCAATATTTACATGTTTTAAGCGAGTATGGTTTATTTGTTAACCCAGTTATTGCTGATTTAGTTGGCGCGTAATCAGACAAATTACACTCTTTCCACAAACTGCCTTGTTAGCCTAATAACATTCATCATAATAACCGATATTTCACGAGCGGCTGTTGGTGGCTTAAAGCACTATCTCTCGCTTGAACCCTTTAGTATTCCATCGTTTAAGCGTATTTTTCTGACATTTTGCTAATTTTTTTTAATCGTCTTAGTCTAAATCGATTGGATTATTTGACGTAGCTGCAATGGTGGTAGTACGGCGGTGGCGGATCATAGTCGCTGTATATACTCACTTCCATCGGTGTATGTACACGAACCGTGCGCACACCGTGTACCAACGCTTTCGGCGTCACCTCCACATTTCGTCAGTAAACACACTACGCTTAAACTCAACCTATGTTCGCGATTAAAATTCATGAGACCTAAAAAAATGTCAGCGGTGTTTTGAATTTTACCACCGGTGTGAACGGTTCAGTGCCTCACCAGTGTACTGAGAGGGTCATTGAATACCCAAACGAAAATTCCACTACGGTTGTCTGTTTATTTTTGTCAACGTGGGTAAACAATGCTTTTTTGTATATTACTCAACACTTTGCACGATCTCAAACATCGAACAACGACTTTCATTTGTATCTATCACGATTGATGTACATTTTACTCTTATTCTATCGAGTTGTGTTTAGCGTCCTGGTTTAACCCGTAATCTGATCACAAATCCAGCCATAATTGGGATTATAATATATCATGGAGCTTTACTTGGCTTTATTGTTATCATTGAATTTGTATTTGTTCTGTTCGCTATGAATTTAAATGTACACATGTCGCTATCATATAATGTTATTGTTCTTGTAATAATTTACGACGAAGCCTCGAAGTGTGCCCTGAAACGATCGTACGGAGTCGGATCGATTTGCTCGCTGACGATGTGACGAGTCGAACACGAAACCACACTATTAAAACGGGTACACCCTAGCAAGATATAATGTTACACCGTGAACTGTTAGCTAATATGTTACGATTGTAGAACAGCAATAATTATCGGCCCTGTACACATTTGGTTAATAAGTCATCGTCAATTTAACGTAGCTCTGGGCGAAAGTAGCAGTGGCCATGTTTCGCGTTTCAGGAAGTAGAGACGTGAAAACGAAGTATACTACAGGAAATAATCGTTCAATAACAACCCGGTACTGGTGTTCTTTCTGAAACGAGTTTATTCTTGGCTGATCGAAAACAAGACACATACAAGTAGATGCTTCACTAGACTTTGTCCTTTTTTCAATGGAATGACAAAAAATAACGAATTAACAATAGAATAATAATTAAAATCAATTCAAAAAAAATGGAAGCGATATTCCTTTGTAATTCGTCGTGGATTGCAGTCACAGTGGGGAACAATACGATGAATATGAAATTAGAATTGATGAAAATTACACATAAGTTTAAATCCCGAAATTTCTGTGGAATTTATTCACTTTTCAACGTGTATTTCCGATCATTGTAATTATTTCACTAGTAAAATATTGATAATGATAATTCTGCATTAATTTTCCCGATTTTTATTCTTTTTATCATTTTCCACCACTTGGGTCGGATTTCCTGCACTATAGCAGGGGTGCTTCGTGCAATTAGTCTCAACATATGCATGCAAATTTGTAAATAATATAATTGTAAAAGCGACATTTTATACCCTGTGTCGTGCTCGTAATTGTATCACCATGAAAGCATCGAGTTTTTTTATTCTGAAATATATACCAACTGCGCTCACGTTTTATTGGTATTCATTTCAGCATTGTGCGTTGCCTTCTGGGTCTTCGCAACGGAGACACTGCAGGCTCTGACACTCGACTGGGCTCCAACCATACAGCGTTACCGTTCTAACGTGATTCAACACCTACGGTTACCGCGTTACCATTAGTAATTTCACGATGAATTTAGTTGCAATCGCCCAGTAACATTTTTTTTTCGTGAAAGCGTTCGCTTCGTCAAGTTGCGAGATAAACAATTTAAAAGAAAAATCGATCATCGATAAATTGCTGATTCGGTCCAGTTAGCATATCACGATAAAGTTAACTATGTTTTGATCCAATTTTTTTGGAATAAAGATGTAAAAGCTTATGCCATATAAATACATTGTTTCATGAAATAACCCACATCGAATTTGACAGAATTATTTTGAATCAATACAATATTGGTACTGTCTCAATATCAAAACACAAAAAGACTTTTTACAAACATTCCCCTGTGTCTTAAATTTATTTAGTGATCTCGCGTGTACGTGCCGACCAGAACACTAGTGGGCTTGTGTTGAAGCAAACATTCAATTCGTCTCTGACAAAAAATTATATTAATAAATAAATAAAACTATTAGTAACAATGTTTTAGCTCTAAAAATGTGTCGATCAAAGGTTTTATTAATAAGGAAATATCATATTACCAAATGTGCCCGCCCGTGTCATATTATTTTTTTTATAGTTTGTCGTGTGTCAACTCAGATCTTAGGCGCTATGGGAATACCGGTACCTTTAAATAACACATCAAACGTATTAGTATTATCACATTTAATGTCTATTCATTTCGCGTTAAAATTCAATTAATAAGATCTTCAGTTAAATTATTTAATTTCAATTAATAAATTGTGAACGAAAGAAATTAGTGGTGCGGGTCAATTAATAATGTATTGCCGTATAACATATGGTGGGGGAATTTGAAAACACGCTTTCGTTGGCTTTAGCCACACTGCGATGTAGTGTTGGCAAAAACGCATTGTCTGCGAATTTGTTTTAAAACATAAATAAATACATGGACAAAAATCATGCAGTAACACGCTTTTTTTTCTCTATTGAATTTAATATTTTATCAGCAACAATTGTTTGATTCGGTTTATTCGGTAATTATGAAAGCCAGTCACAATTCTCCGTTAATGTATAATAACGTGTCGAGGCTTATCTCTTGTCAACTTTCTGAAATTCCGTTCATTTATTATATTCCCGTATGCAAGGTTTTCAACAAATCCTTTAATTCCTTTATATTATTATGCTCGGAGTGAATGTTTAGCTTGCAGCTAGTGCGTTTCCAGTAAGGCCAGAAATGTGTTTTAACAGGTATAGCGGATAGTGCATTTGTAAAGTAAGAGCGGAAAGCGAGACAATTATTTAAAGTTAAGTGAAATTGCAAAAAAACAAACAAACAAAACACCATGTGTGGTTTAACGTGCGTTTGCAACCTGGCGTATGAAATGTGACAGTAAATGGATAAACTGATAAACATAGATTGGGTTATTTAATTATATATTGGTTATTATATGTGTTGTGCCAAGTATCGTTAATAGTTTATTTCACTGTTTTTGTCTTAGTATAAACCTGCCAATATTATATTAATATTTATAGCATTTCGCTTTCTCGGTCGCCGTTCATATTCAGTTAACTTATATTATATCCCTGCTAATAACTTTCTGTTTCTATGACATTGCAGGTAAAAATTTGGTTTCAAAATAGGAGGTCAAAGTGCAAGAAAATGTTAAAACAGCAGCAACAGCAGCCACATCAGACATCTGGTCCACAAGCGCTAACAGTTCAGAATACACCGAATGTTACAGCGAACAGTCAAACACCGCAGCCACCAACGCCAAATGCGAACAACCCAACGCCAATGACAACATCTATGAACAACTCTTCCTCGCCACCAGTTTGGGACATTAGTAATAGCAAAAACAACAGTAGTTATATTCCGCAATATTCCTGGTATCATCAAGACAATGCGACAGCGGCACTCCAACAGTCGCAGTTAATGTCGTAATATAATGAATGTTCCGTCGGTCGGCATCGTCTACTTGCCAGTACTTTTATTTTCTTGATTCACAGTGAGCCAAAATAATGTGTATGCGAGTCTCGCCACTTTCTTAGTGTTCGGACTAACGTTTTACTGCCTATTGACAACGGTTATTGACATGCATCGCAGTACAGTGATGGATCGTTTCAAGACGACATAAAAAGAATATCCCCAACACGTGGAGTGTACCGAGGAGAGTTCGTTTCGACGTCCAGCATACGCTGTTCCATGGTTACCTCGCAACATGCTGGTGTCGCCTATAAGATGCATGAAGTATTTTAATAAGCATCACTAACGCGATGGTCTGTACTGGGATATATGCGATGTTGTTATAATTACGGCATCCATGTCACCCGTTGTTTGTCCAATTTAATGAATGTACCAAGCCTACAAAAATTGGAACAATATTGAAATAGACAAAGTGTATTATTATATTTTTGAATGACGTCATATCAGTGGAAGCAGATATATAATAATCGATTAGCTGTGATCAAAGCGACCATCCGTGGAATGCAAGTGACTGTTTTTTTATTTAAATTTAAAAAAAAATGCACTAAACACAAAAAATGCATGGCACGACAAGTGAACGTAGTTGACTGTTTCATTTGAAGAGTAAATTTGTTTCAAGTATTTGTTTAGCATAAACGTAAATTGGTCTATCACTTTTATCCGCTGTTTCTATTGACTGGCGAATTCCTAGAAATTCAGGGTTGCTGTTGTTGATGTTTTTATATATATATAAAAAAGTCGATCATTTATAGAAGTTTTTAAAAATGTTCTATTTGCCATTTATTTATTAAGATTATTTCTGTAAGTTTGTGAGTTTTTATTTCTAAAAATAGCATTTGCCAACAATGGTAACAAAATCATGTTCTTTAAGCCCAATATTGCCCCTCACTGTTATTTTCTTCATGATTAGGAAGTTGGGGTATCACTCTGACACTGGTGTTGCCATAACAACAAATCCGTACATGTTTGAAAGTTGATGATACGGTTCTTATAACGGTTAATTTGTGGTAATGATATTTTAGGCCATTTGCATTACTCCAAAATGATTTTGGTTTATTGCACAAGTATATAAAGATAAACAAAGTCCCGAACTTTCCAAGCATTGATGACTATCAATTGTGTACAATTGGATGGTATTTACCTTTCGCTGAAGTTGTAAGTCTCATTATTGTGAAGTAGTCCGGGGGTATATCTACGCGGCGACTGCCAGAGATGGCTGTCATCGATGCAATCTAGACGTCCACGATCCTGGCGAAGTGATCGAAAACAATATGTCACTTCCATCTGTCACGTGACTCCTCTAGTTGAGATCAGATCGATGACATTTTGAGTTGAATTGATTCTTGGCAGTCTAGCTTGCTTTGCACATTTATTGTTATTTTATGTTTTACAAATAGAGTACCATTAGATCTATGTTATGTATATCACAATTGTACAAAGTTGGGACTAAGAAAAAATAATAAAAAAAAACTGAGTACCTCTGCATAAAATATTACTGCTTTGTTATTGTTTGGTTTATGGGTGTACACTTTTACCACTTTGTATTTCGGTGGTTTGCTTAAAGGGCGGCAGTCGTCACGCCGCGTCCTGTTCGATATGGGACTCATAGCGACGCATACAACGCGTGTAAAATACTTTGTTTATTTACATGAAATTCGAACACGCGCTGCGCGTCGACCACCGCGCTTTAAATGACGATTGTAATGGCTGCAGTATTTGAGGGTTTTCAATTGTGTGTGAAAAATGCAACCCGGTTCACCTGTTCCGTGAGTGCGTGTTTGCCGTCTACACCAATTCCCAACAGTGTCGTAATTACCGGTCCATATCGCATAGCCAAGGTATCCATACTGTAACATAGCCACTAGTAGCATGGCAAAGTGCATACATTCATGTATAAGGGGCTATCAGGTTTACAAGAGCCCTAATAGTCCTATTTACAACTCAAGAGGTTCTCCTTTACACCCAGTTTATTTTCCAATTTCGCGAACTAAAGCAACTCAAATAGTTGTAGGTTTGTATGCATTGTACGAGTCCGATTATCGCCCCTTGTAGGGCCCAGACAAGAGAAAACGGACTGGCACGCATTCAAACTGCCACAAAAAAGGGGCGATTGTAATACAATACAATGCTAACCCCTGCGGCCATATAACCTTCAAAATATTACATTCGTTTTTTTTTTTTTTTTTTGTTGTTGTTAGATTTAGACATTTCTAATGAAGAAAATGTCAAATCGATAGAATTGTTTATGACATTTTCTCATGTACTTTTACTAGTGTGATCACTGGGTTGCAGAGTTACGGGTCGCTGCTAGAATGGAAGCCATGGATTTTTAGATGGTAAGTTATGAGAAAAGCTTGGCGTGTTTTTTTGTGAATGCACGATGGATTTATTGCAAGTTGACGCTTTCACCGGACAATCTTGCTATCAGTTCGAAGGATCAATAAGTCGCTGTCTGTAGACTTGCTGGCGCTTTCCTCATCTATAGCACCGTTATTGTTCTTGAAGCTCTCTATGCACACTAATGCCAGTCTCATTGTTGACACTGATGTCATTGTTCATTGCACGATGTCTTCTTTGTTTATTTTATATGCAAATGAAAGCATAACAGAGTGAAAATGCCATTAAAGTCTTCATCTTCCGACTCGCTGGCAGTATTTGACGGCTAGTAACACATATCGTAAACAACGCTTATGTGTTCATCTAGGACCACACAAAAGTAGAAGCTCGGCGAAGACGCAAAACGGGGGTAAGAAAATAGAAAAAAAAGAATTGAGTATAAAGACGGTAAGGCAACGATGTAATCAGCCAAATCTGTCGAGACTGGCGCCAAAGGACCTGCCCATCCCATACGGTTCTATGCCTCGAATGCGAGACAGACTCTGCAGTCGTCCATGCGTCTACCTATCATAAACAGGCTTTGTTAAAACAAAACAAAAATACAAAGAAAAAGGTGAAAACGACGAGGCGGGGTCAATGTTGTGATTTATTGAGTAAGCAGTGGAGTGACGAATAACTAAATCTACCTCTAGTGCCAGTACTCCGGGAACGAATGGAACTGTCCAATGCCATGCCACACACCTCAACGGGAGATCGTAATCATTGAACAATATTAGGATAGAGCTCCATAATTGTATGACCTACCACATAATGTATCTTCAGAGCTCATACCAAAAACAACAACGCAACGTTTACGAGATGACGGTTACTGGGGTTTATTGTACAAGCATGACCCTATATATGTGTATATAAGTAAATGTTTAGAAGGTCCGTGCACAGTCCCTGTTGTAGATGGAATGCGGTCCATGCAACTAAACTAAAGCAACTAAAGACACCACAATACACGCAACACGAAAAACAAACAACATACGGTGTTAGTAAATACTATAGTATTGGCCGACAATGACATGTTTCAAAATCTCCCATCAGATACAGTCTCTGGTTTTCAATATAAATGACCTCTATGGGACTCGTAATTTAGGTCTGTATATGGCACCGGGTGATGACACTGACACTATACATAGCTCACTCATCAGAAAGTGGGCAGTCGCACATTTGCGGGAAACAAGCCAATTGAACCGTTCGATGGCAGCAGTTTATTTGTCTCATTCTGAATCCTATGGTTTGCTGAAACTCTTTTTAAAAATAAAGAATGAGGCGCTCGTAACGAATTGGCGTGAACGGGTTTCTCATCATAGCGAGTCGATCGAAGATGAGCGATGGGCAATGACTCGGGCGGCAATTGCGGACTTAATAGTCTTTTTAACTTTTAACTCCGAGTCGATCGTTTTGACCAAAACAACATGTCTTAGAAATCACTCGGACATGGGAAGCAGGGACAATTTTTAACAAAAATGATCCAATAGTACGATTAAGCTTTGGTGTGAATTGAGTATGCTGGTATTATTTATTAAATTAAATTAAAAATCTTGGTCCCCTTCTCAGCCCGAGGGCGTCTCACATTGAATATAGTTCGCATTAGACAATGGCACGATGTCATACTAACCCTTCCTCAAATGAGTTGTTTCTGAATTCTGCCAAAATATTATAATAAAAAAAAAAGAATCAAAAAGTGTAAAAAAACAGGCATTCAGCGCATCATGTTTTGAACAGTCCAGGACCGTAAACAGATCTTGTTTGTATTTAGCCTAACGGTCGGGTATCATTTCAGGGCAATTAAGGACATTGTGATGCTATAGTATAACCGTATGAATGCCCAGTTCTACGTCGCACGTTTTTTTTTTTTTACTCAGTTATCACTTCGCAATCGTTTTCATTTTGTTATTTTAATTTCTCCACTGTGTCCTGAAACCAAATGACGAGCATTTGATAAGCATTGTGCGAAAGCTCTATTCTGCTGTATATATGTCAAATTTAAAATTTGGCAATCATAGCCTGCATGTTAATTCTGCATAATAATAATAATAATAAAAAGAAAGATTCACTTTGTTGTATTATATAATCGAAACATTCCTTGGCATATCAACTCCTTGTGGTTTTCAGCGCAAATATCGCACACATTTACCATCCAGGATACCCGATACACCACGCCACAGTACGCTAGTCATTATTCTTTCTATATACTCATTTTAAGCAACGGAAATTGACATGAATAACTGTACATCAATTAACACCTAGATTTAATAACCCCCAGCGTGACCATGACGACTGACTATGATTCAGCAGCCATATTCTCGATTCTTTATTCGAATATTACACTAAAGAAGGGCCATTACCAGGAACGTCTGGCTGTATTGAAGGACAAGGACTGCGATTACCTACTGACATTTTCTATAATATTCCGTTCATACGGGCATTGTCGCGAATTGTTTAGGCTCTCACCAAGTCACCAAATATTAGGATGTAGAACACGTTTTTCGAAGTTTGATTGTTTGGTGGCTTTAAATGAATCTGACTCCGATATGAACCGATTCTTTTACATAATAAGAAAGGTTAATAGGGGCATTGCTTGTTCTCCTGAGGGCAGTAGTCACTATATTTTATGGTGGAAATGTCAACACATACTCGTATGTCAAGCATAACCGGTACAAAGCGAAGAATGGCTGTCTAAATAAGACAGCGGCTAATTTCGTCGTACTGAAATCACTGTAATCTAACAGTACGTGATTGCTACGTATATCGACGACACACAATGCTCTAAACATACTTTCCACAATTTTGTAATTGTTTTTAAATCAACATACTTAGTTGTGGAGTAAACTATTACTTGCCGTCTAAGGTCAGTATACTGCTATAGCGACATAGCCCAGGGCCATTACTCCATTTACAATCGT